GTGTGTGTGTGTGTGTGTGTGTGTGTGTGTGTGTGTGTGTGTGTGTGCGTGCGTGTGATTGATTGGTGGTTATGAATGAACCCCGTTGTCATCACGTTGTCTGCGGTTTTGTTGTATTTCTTCTGCTCCTCCCTCAGATTTGTACCAGCAGTGCTCAGCTCATCAGGAGGACGGAGACGACCGGTGGATATTAATCTGATGATTCTCTTGTTATCATTATTATTGATATTGACGTGTGGGGTGACTGTAGGGGACCAGCCCTCTGATGTTCAATATATAGACACACGTTTGGAATAAAAAAAACAGTCAATGTATCAAAAAATACTGCTGCTGGTGACGTTGTTTATTTACCCGACCTTTGACCTTTCCCTTGTGCAGCCACTCAGGTGTGTCCAGGTGACATCCAGGTGTGCGGAGCTGACGACACCAAACATCTAAAAGAATCTACTGATTTATATATTTCACACAACTTATTCAGAAATTGAATTAAATTGTAGCTGAATAGTCTTAAAAAAATTAATTTGACTTTTATTTAGTTGCAAATCTTCTTTAATTGTTTTATTGATTTATTTTCTGTCTTTTTTGCTCTTTTACATTTTTTCGTCGGGTTGTGTTCATTTAGTTTCTGTTTTTGTTTCTTTTTCAGTTTCTATTTTTTATTATTATTTATCTATTTTTTGGATTGATAATTTTGCGTATTTTTTAGTTGGTGTCTTTTTATTTTGTCATGTCGTTTTATTGTTTTTGTTGCAGCTTTTGTTCATCGTGTAGGTTTTTACTCTTTAACTTGTCTTTGTGTTTTAGTATTTTATTTTATTTATCTATTTCAACTTTGTAGTTTTGATCAGATTCCTTTAATTATTTTTACTCTTTTTTTATGCATCACATAATTAATTCCAGATCAGAAGCAGGAGATCCGGTAGTTCAGAGGTTTGTGTTCATGTCTGAAGGAGATGATGTAACACCAGGAACAACCAGCAGAGGGCGCTGCAGGCCAGAGTACGAGCAGTGTGAAGGTCAGTGCTCACATAAATACTGATCTCATTTAGTTTTGTTTCAAGTAAAACATCTCTCATTATCATGAAATAACAATAATATGATTATAATATAAATTTAATGACTCCAGAATCCTGTAGTTCAGTGTACCGACTTCAAATCACGTCACAGTTTACTTCAGCCGACTTTATCTTGTTCTTTGAGCAGCATTCAAACGTTGAGCGTAAACGCAACGCTAAACCTGCGTTCATGATCACACCTGTCATCTTATATTAAAAGTTTTGAAACGCATAAAAGTATTCTGTTGTGTCTCTGTGATCCTCACAACACAACTGGTGTAAAAACATTTTTTATGAACTAATCAAGAGAACTTTATTCATACATTCAAGGTCGACAGTCAGAAAACTCACATACAGCAGTGAAAGAAAGAACATGATGTGAAATATGTTCAATCCTCTTTAAGTCAGTTGATTTTGTTTAATTCACACATTTAGTACAAACTTGAACCTGTGAATGAGTCCAAAACAGAAATGAAATCATAATGAGTCTAAAGAGAAGTAGGACATCATCTTATCTGGAAACATGATTCAGTCGCTCCGTTTCACTCGGGAAGTGACGAGTTTCATGAGGAACAAAATGTTTGTGTGAGCAACGTTCAGATTGAATTAATCTGTCTCATTTATCTCTGAAGGCTGAGTGACGGAGACAACACAGTTAACACAGCTGGGTCACATCAGGGATGACGTTCATGCTTCATGTTTCATATATTCAGGTGTAACAGTGAATCTACAGCTTGCATCACTATAGGGGTTAGCCTAGCTTAGCACAAAGACTGGAAGCAGGGGGAAACTGCTGGCGTAACACGTGAATGTCGTCGTTGCTGTTTTGCTTTGCAACATTCTTCCCTCATGTGTGTTGGATCAACACGAACACGTCTACCAGCTTTAAAATCTGCACAAGTCGGCAAAAAAACATATCAGAAAGTTACGGGTTGAGTTTTGTCATTTTGATTAGCAGAAGATTTAGTAATATATAATAAATATATAATAAATATTAAAGATGTGATTAGGATAGATACAAAAACATGCTTCATCCTTGAAGTCTGTTTTTCTTGAAACATGAAGATTATTTCAACCAGTTTACAATAAATATCCAGAATGAGTGAGTTGATCTTAAAAGAAGGAAGTATTTCAGCCTATTTTGTCACATTTCTTTCTACAATGTGAGGTTCTGGACACACTGATCACACAGATGCTTCATCATGCCGTCATGAAGAAGTGTTTTCCTCTCCAGTCTACAAAGTGCTGAGTGGCTCGATCATGTTCCTCTCTTCTCAACATGCAGTGATGTCGTCAGTGCTGCTGGGAAAAAGAAACCGCTGAGCAGACCGACTGTAGGTTTGAGGTACTGACAGAACATCATGTCTTTACTCGCACTACTGTGTTTTGGGCTCTTTTTGTACTTTTCTAGTATAATTCTTTTTAAATGGTAACTCTGAATGTAATGATGCAGAGAGGTGAGAAACAAGTGCTTCTCTTTCACGTTGAATGTTCAGTTTGTCTAAACAAACCAAAGCTTTCAGTTTACAAACCAATTAATTGATTAATTACATGGTTCTCTGATCACAAAAGGGCACAAATAAGAACAAAGCTGTCTAATAGTTTGTATTTTTATTAACGTGTCTCCCAAAAGTTACGTTTTACGTATACTTATTGACATGAACAGACAAAGACACGTTGTCATCAGACACTTATTTTAGGAGAAACATGATGCAACAATCCCGTAAGTCTGAGCTTCATCCTCTTTCTGGTGAATGAAGCGCTGACGTGACTCACTTCTATGGGAGACTTTAGAGTTCAACAATCAAAAATATCAATAATGAGATAATAAATCAAGAACTAACAGTGAAATACTGAAAGTCAAAAAACATGGGATACTGCATCAAAATGAGATGTTAATAAATCAAAATGATGAGATTAATTATTTTTTTAAATACTCAGTGAAGTGAGTCAACTTTTTCATCTTTTTTCTTTTGCTTCTTTTACCGAAACAACGAAACAGAAGATGAAAGTGTTTTTAAAGTGTTTCTTTACAGACTGATGAGAGTCGTCCTCCGGCTGCTTTCTGTCTCTGAACAAAGAACAGACACAACAAGAACACACATGCACTTTAGATTCATTACCAAAACTACTGGTTATAACGGTGGATGACGGACAAACTTTTATTATTTATTTATTTTCTTATTATTCACATTAATTCAGTCACTTGTTTGTGCAGATTTGGTCATTAATTATAATAATAATAACAATACATTTTATTTATATAGCGCTTTAAAAGGCAGTCAAAGACACTTTACATGGTAATAAGAACAAAATCTATGACATCATAACAGTAAGAAAGAAAAATAAACACTATTACAACATTATGTACATATATAGAGATGTTTTGTGGCGAAATGTGATCGAGAGTTTGAGATTTACTCTTTTTCTTTCCCTCCAGTGACTTGACCGGTCAATGCCAGTATATCTGGTATATCACTCTCTTTAAACTCCTCGCACGCACGCACGCACAGCAGAAGCTAATCTGGAATTAATGGAGAGATTAAGGAAATGTTAATGACTAAAATGTGTTTTTAGTGTCATGCTGCATTCAATTCACCTTCCTCTGTCAATTCTGCACTAATCACTGTGGTGAAAGACAAAGAAAATCTAAATATTAAATCCATCCGGAGTGCCTTTTTCCCTTTCGACACAGAAACTGACATTTGAATCAAAGAATGAGTTACCACAAATATATTTCCAACAATTAGAGCGAGCCTGGCAGCTCTTTGGAGGAGATGCCCATCCTGAGTTTGGAGATGTGTTCTGCTGTTTCCTGTTTTTGATTCCTTAATCCTCCAAACAATGTGACATTTCACTAAAGGTCAATACAAACGGATCAACCGCCATTAACCATCGTTTCATTCCCGTCAGTTACAGGATGTCAAGTCAGGACAAATCGCTCACATCGTTCTCACAACCTGGAGATTAAATACATTCCTCTTTCATATTTCTGGACGTGTGTGTGCGTGTGTGTGTGTGTGTGTGTGCATAGAAGTGTGTTGATAAGTAAACTCATAAAAAAGTCAAATAAAAAAATCAATAGAAAATCATAAGTCATAGAATGTAATAAAAAAAGACGTCACGTGAAGCTTAGTATATGTCAATACAAATAAAAAAATATCAAAGTATAGTATGTCATTTAAGAGTAACAGTGTACTAGGTCCTAATAAACAGTGGTAAAAAGTCATAGTTAAGTATAACCTGGAGAAGAGCTTAACTAGCTTGTCTGAGAACAAGTGATAAAGTCACAGTGTAGTCAGCCTGTGTCTAGAATCAGATGTGTATCTTCTCTTTCGCAGACAGAAGGAAAGTGAAGCATCCGGCCCAGATGGCGTGCCCCTTCATCAGATTACTGGAGTCCTCTCCTGCTTCAGGCGCTCCCATCATCCAGGTCTCCAGGAAACATCACATCACAGGAGTGAAAGACGACATGCACAAGGATCCTGTTCGTGGACTTCAACACCTTCGTTCCAGAAACGGTCTCATTTGGGACGCTGACAAGTCGTCATCGTCTGCATACAGACGGAAGGTTGAACAGCTTGACATCCGGTGGACTCAGAACTAAATGCTTTTAAAGCTGTGGATCTGACGAGACCCCTTCACTGCACACCTTCTGAACAACATGGTCTGCTGTGGAAGCGCTCATGTTTCTTAAACATAAACAAAAGACTACAATGGACCGTTGGATCTAAAAAGAGATGTTTGGTGCCAGACTGCCCTCCATCAAGGACTAATACATCACCAGAGTCTGGAAACAGGTAACCTCTCACATACTGGATGGATAGATGGATAGATTAAAGAGATTAAAGAGATTAAAGAGATAGTTGGACATGCAGACAAAAAAAGTCGTATAACATGTCGTAAAAAATGCTGTGAGTTTTTACGAC